TTCAACATTATACTCCAATTGCTCCACTTGATCCCGATCGCAATAAGTATCAGCTATGTGTGTGTGTGTGTGTGTGTGTGTGTGTGTGTTTGTATGTGTAGTCAGTCAATTGCTCTTAATAATACATTTATGAACTATATATTGGTTATTACATTTTAATACCATATATCTGAAAACTTAAAGCTTACAGTATAGAAATAAGAAAATTATATGGTGAAAGATGTAATTGGAAAGCTGTACAGTTATACGATCCAGTCACCTTGTATGAAAATCATCCTTACCCAGATATTTTTCTAAAAGTGATTTTTAAACTTGGGTCAGTTAACTGCGGCTATGAAAGCTGAAAGGAACAATCTAGAAAGCGTGTTAAAAATGACTCTGGACTTCTGATATAGCATTGTTCTTTGATTTGGATGCTGATTGTGTAGTGTATTCAGTTTGTAAAAAATTATCAAATTATATACTTATGATTTGTGAGCTTTTCTGTATGTATGTTACATTTAAATAAAATGTACAATAAAGAAAACACAAAGGATTATTAAAATAATTTAGAAGAAAACAATGGAGAACATCATTGTGATTTGTGTAGACAAAAATTTCTTAATCAAAACACAAAAAATGGTGACCATAGAGAAAAAAACGATGAACTGGACTACATTAAAAACTTCTTTTCATCAGAAAATATCATTTTATATATATTGGAAAATAGCATTGATAGAAAATGCAACCCACAAGCTAGAAGAAGATATTTTTAACACATATAGCTGACAAAACACTCACATCAAGGATATATGAAGAATGCCTACAAATCAATGAGAAAAAGACAGATACAACAGAAACACTGGCAAAGAAACTGAACATAAAATTCATTAAATGGAATCTCCAAATGGCTAATAAAAATGTGCTTGACTTCGTAAGTTATTAGGAAGATGAAAGCTAAAAACTATAGATTTTTGGTTTTTGATACTACTACACACCTACCAGAACGGCTAAAAAGAAAAAGATTGACAATACTAGGTGTTGACGAGGATGTGGAGCATCATATACAGCTGTGGGAGTGCAATTTGGTGCAAGTACTTTGGAAAACTGTTTGGCAATATCCACTGTATCTGAATATATGCACACCTGGGATGGAGAAATTTCATTCCTAGATATCAGAGAAAGGAGTGCATATGTCTTCCTAAATCACGTACAAGAATGGTCATAGCAGCACTATTTATAGTAGCTAAAAGTTGGAAACAAACCAAATATCCATCACCAGTAAAATATATTAAACACTTGTGGTGTATTTATGTAATAAAATACTGTACAGCAATGACAATAAACTAAACCACAGCAATAACATAGATGAATCTTGAATTTCACAACATAATGTTGAGTGAAATAAGTCCGACACAAAGAATTAAATATACAGTAGTTCAAAAACAAAATTAATCTACAGTGTTGGAAGTTAGGATGGTTGTTACCCACAGGATGCTGAGGAGGATGATGGGGAGGTGAGGAGAGAAGGTCTTCTGGGGAGGATAACCTATTTTTAATGTGGATACTGATTATATGGCTATACTCACTTTGTGAAAATTCTTCTAGCTATAAACTTATGCTTTTCTGTATGTACTTCAATGTTAAGATAACTGAAAAAGAATTTTGAAGGACTGTGTCAGGAAAACACAAGAGCCAGCTTAAAGAAGCCCCACTGACCAAAGATTAAAAGTTTAAGTATTGAAATAATAATAATTATAGTGGATTAAAACTCATTGAATCAATGAAAATTTACAAGTTCATAGTGATACTCAAAAATAAAGAACAATTGAAAAATCACACGGTGCGCATTAAGCTGAAAGATTGACTGCATCTCCTCACTAGCCCAGGAAAATCCTGACTTAATTACTAATGGCACCCACTTTTACTCTCAAATTCTCCCTGTTTGGACACTAGATTATATACTATCCCACTAATAAACCAGCCACCTACCTTGTATTAATGAATTGGTAAATAAAGCAAAAGAATTGAGCATTCATCCTACCTTTTTGGGGTAACTAAACAGACTCAGATGAAGCGACTTACAGGTTTACTTTACAGAAGAATTTCTACTACAGAGACAGATGACATAGAATTAGAAAATCATCTTTCTACAAACCCTAACAAACGTATTGACTCAAAGAATGATTGTCAACTGTTAAAAGTGTTATTTTAAAATTATTATTATGGTTGATAGGAAAAGGGATATTCCTATAGTTCCAAAATAAAACCACAATAATCACTTGTTTTTGTTACTAAAGGAAAACATATATATATAGATGAAGAATGGAGGTATCAATTTGTTATGACCCTAATTCCAAGAAAAATTTTAGCATATTGAAGGCTAAATCAACAAGATATTACATCTCTGGATATGCTGTCATGTCACTTATGGTATATTCTAGAAACTATTTAACTTGATTCCAACAAACCTTTAGATTTAAATTCCAATTTACTAGAAATACAAGACAGAGAAACAAGCTACATGACATCACCAGACAAATCCAGAAGATAGAACAAACTGTAGGAAAACTGGTTCAGTGTTTTTTAACAGGTCAGAGTCAGTGAAAACAAATGTAGTGTGATTAAAAAGACTTAAGGGGCGTAACAACGAGGGGATTGCAGATCCTGTTCTGGATAAACCAGGTTTATAGTGCATTTTGAGAATCTTGGGGAAATTTAAATATGGATTGGGCATTAGATAAGATGGAAATGTATTGCTGTGAAAAGGCAGAGAGAGTTAATGGGGAAAAAAAGTAAGTTACACAGCAACACATCCAGAATGATCTCTTAAAAAAGAAAATAATTATGTCCATGTGTGTCTTTGTGTGTGTGGGTATAAATGAGAATATCTGGAAGGATGTACAGATATTCAATACGGTTGTAGGAGTAGTGATGTTCTAGATGGAGAGAATTTAAAGCCCCTGTATTTAAACAAGATACATTTTTGGTTTGTTTATGTTTTCCAACTTTCTACAATGCATGTATACAAGTTTTATAGTAACAAAAGGCTAATATCAATTATAATAGGATATTAGAAACTAAATAGTTAAAAAAAGGATAGGTAAATACAATTATCCAATTTTATAAATTTTATTTTTTCTTATTGCCATTAACAGGATATGACTAAATTATAGTACCCAGAATTTAGTGCGCTGATGTTCATTTGTATTGCAATATTTGTATTCAGTTCTTTGTTCACTAGTTGATATACAAAATATATTCTTCATTATGCTTTAGATTGTGATGCTTCATCCAATTATATTCGAATAGGAATAACATTCCCAAAGAAATTAAAAGAAACAAATACTAATATTCCTTCCAAGGTATCCAAAACACTTTTATTGAGAAAACATTCAAAACAGCCATAGATGTCGAATATTGCCTTAATCCTCTGAAATATTTCCTCATACAAATAAAATCTTTAAGGAGGGAAAAATTTGAATCTCTAAAAGCTAATGAACTATTTAATTAATTTTTATCTTGCCTTTCCCCAGAAGGATTTCAAGAGACTTATTAGGATATACAAAACATGACCAATATTATATCATAAAATAAAGGTGGAAATAAAAATTTTAAAAACCAATGTTGAGAAAAAAGTACAATACAAAAAAAAGTTTTAAAATGCATAGAATAATACTTATGTAACTGGTAAACATGATCTAGAAATAACTTTTTACATTTAAATTACACAATTAATAATATCCATGAAATAAAAGTGAATCAATTGCTCTTAACTGTAAGATTAGATTGGAATTTCTCCTAAGAATACTGGTAAAGAGACAGCGTGTGAAGTCATAAACATCATTCTCAACAACATTAATATATGTATTAGGATTTTGTCATCTCATTTTCACATTATTTTTAGCTTTTAAATTTGGAATACTTCTTTAGGGGTCCTGAGAAATTTACAATTCAATTTCCATTTTTCCAGAGAACTGATTTCTAGTTCAGTTGAGAGTCTGTTAAAGTATTGCAAGGGTATTAATGCTATTCATGTGAATTACAAGGAATCAGGAAACTTGAGATGAAATTTTATAACCTTTTTAAAAACCCTACTAATTAAAAAATTCAAGGTGATTACATTATGAATATGAGTAAAATGCCTTTAGCAATCATTCACTGATTTAAGTATGTATATAATTCTATTTTTTCAAAAAAGCACATATTTTATGAGGAAAATTGATTTTTCCAGTAGAGAGTTGTGAACCTTTATTTCTTTCAATAAATAAATGTTTGCTAAATTTTATCATGTAGGATCTTTTGCTGGATGCTGAGGATCCAGTAGTGAGCAGACACTTGAATCTGCAAATTCTAAAATGGTAAATTCATGAAACGCATTTGGATACCCAATCAATAAATTAGTCAACTTCCAGGCTTAGCTACTACTGCTCTAGTCTAATAATTCACCAATGTTTAGGCAAAGTTGGAGTAGTGATATAATAATACACAGATCTCTTATGTTGTTAATGAGGAAGAAAGTCATCACTGATTCTGGTATTAATTTAACACTGTGCTTTTGACATCTAGAGTGTGGAGGGGAAACTTCTCATCTTTAACTCCCACCAGTGGCTAGTACATTAAGCTGTTATTCTCTTTTTCTACTTAAACAGAATCAGAGCAATGGAAGGCTTTGACATACTAGTTTGAATTTGGAAGAATCATCTTCTTCAAAGTTATCAAGTAACTCACTCAGCTGAGAATACAGAAAGTGAACCAAAAGCCTGGGAAAGAACTAAAAGCTTGTCAATCTCTTCAAAGATTAGAATCTCTGGCTTCTTCTGAAGCTTGCTTTCTATTCTTAAAACGTCTTTTTATTTTAATGTCACCATGTCACAATCTCTAATAGCAATACAGAAATCACAAACAAATATTTTTCTATCCTAGCAAACTTATCTTAAAATATACGAAAATGGTGTGTGTGTGTGTGTGTGTGAGAGAGAGAGAGAGAGAGAGAGTGAAAGAGACAGAGAAAGAGAGAGAAGGCAGGAAGAATGAGGAAGAACATGAGAATAATAGAAATGGAGAAGTTATGGAGAATCAAACTGTTTGATTAAACTGAGCAATTAATTTAGTTGAACATGAAGCCTAAATAACTGTTCCTGGATTGACCCTATTCTGTTAACCTGAACATATTGATTGATTACTTAAATAGCACATACACACAGACTGATATGTGGCACTTTACACTCTTGTGTCGATAGCATACATTTTGGCAGTCTCTGTCCGAGGGGCCACATATGACTTGGCCATGGAAACATCTGCAGTTGAATAGGCCTTCCTCATAGAATAAGGATAGTTCCTCTCAGGTCCAACATCTGTTTGAAAGAGAAAAATGTAGATACAAAAATAAATATGACTCGTTAAACTTTGGAAAATTTAAAAAAAAAGTCACTTTATACATGCTTTCCTAAAAGAGGCAAGAATATGAACCTTCTAAGAAGAAATCGTCTGAAGAAATTGAGAAGAAAATCCAAAATTTTCATCCTGAAAGCTAATTTTAGATTTAAAGATCAGCCAAGCAATTTCCCTTTTTTCTTTCTGATGAGGAAAGGAATTCCTTTTGTTTTTTAAGTGATATCTTTGTTGTTGTTGTTGTTTCTGGTGAGCTAACATCTGTGCCAATGTTTCTCCACTTTGTATGTAGGATGCCTCCACAGCATGGCTGATGAGCGGAGTAGGCCCACACCTGGTATCCAAACCCAGCAACCCTGGCCACCAAAGCAGAGCATGCAGAACTTTGAGCCACAGGCCAGCACCTTTAAGTGATATTGGACACAGTTGTAGCTGTGGGGTTTGGGGTTTTTTTCCCCTACAAATAAACCACTAACTGGGTAATAAGATTTGAGTATTGCAAATCATTTGTCTTTGAACAATTGAAATTTTTAATGGTAATAGGTAGACATCAAGTAAGCAACATTATTTTGGGCTGGTGAGATGTGTTTCCATTGGGTTGGGAAGAATGATACTGGAGGCAAAGAAGTATGTTATTTTATTTTGTTCTTACCTCTGAAGAGGTATAAGCAGCACGTGAGGATAGCACCAGCCAAAAAACAACCGAGAGACCCAGCCATTCCAAGCCAACAAGACCAACCAAATTTATACTGATTGCCAAGAAATATATTGTGGAAAACCAGAGAAGAGCGTTCCACGTAAACATCAACAGCGTACCACACAGAGCCAATGATTCCTGGGACACCTGAAAGAAAGGAAAGATGCCAAAAATAACACAAGCCTTTTTCAAATTTAAATCTAAGGGGATCTGCCTGCTGCCCAAAATGGATGGCATCATTTAGAGGGATAATAATGATACTACGGATTCATGGTCAACTCAAATTTTGGTCACCTCTTCTATGTCTTCCATTTGCCTTCTATCTTGTATTTCTTCCCAATTATACCTCAGTTTATGCATAAAGAGAAATGCAAAAATTAAATAGTGCAGGACTCATCTGTGTAAACCTAAAATAGTCACTACGGTTTTCTTTAATTTTCCTATCTTTTCAATGCTATTTTAGTGCTATATAAAGGAAAATATTAAAAACAAAGGGAAAAAACACAAAATAGCAGATGAATAATACGGAGCATATGTTCATTCTATGTTAATTTTTTTTAAAGTTGAAAGTATATGTCTTCAAGAGTATTCTTTTGCTCCCCTGCCCCAATCACCCAGACTCACCATTGAACCTATGCCAGCTACATAATCAGCACCCACATGGAAACTATGTTTTTAAAGTCATTCATTTTAGTGTGTGAGATTAAAAACAAATACTAGAAAAATTGTCTTCATTTTAAAATAAATCTCATCTACCATCCACATACCATATGAGAAGAGTCTAAGAAATTTTACTCCTTTTACATAAAATTTAATCCTCACAGGTTAGTCTATCTGACAATTGATTGGCTTGAAATGATGCCTCTAGAGTCTTCTTGCTTTAAAGGTATAAGTTCATGTCAGGGACTAGATATGAGAAAAAAACGTAGGGAGTTGTAGGATGAAACGCTATGTAAAAATGGTGTTTCCGAAATTTGTAGCCTCCAAAAACCTTTCAGATTCTTTTTCTAGGGAAGCTGTGATATCTACTTAAGTCACCGTTTCATTGCATTCTTTTCCCAATTGTTCAATGCAAGAAGTTTAAGAAGGGCCGGGTCATGAACATATAATCTCCTTTAGATAACAGGGTATAAATTATAAATTACCAAGCCTTTCCTATAATACTGTAACTTACAGGTTTAGGATGGAAATTCCTTTTTTGAAACTTAGAAACAGATTTTGAAATAGATATATCTCATACTAATTTCAAATGATGGTGCCAAGGCTTTGGCCATCTCTGGCAATTTAATTTAGTCATTTCTTCAGCCATTCCTGCAGGAATTTTCACCATCTACTTGATTTTCTTTAAATTTAACTTGTTTTGTCATTTTATAAAACATGGAATATCCAGATGTATCTCAAAAAATATTCTGGAACAAAATCACATAGCATTAAATGATGTTTAAATTTGTTAAATAAAACATTGTTACATACAAAGCTTTATGTTATTACTACAGTGGATATGGAAATGAATATCCTAAAAAGGAAAAACTACGAAATTCTTGTGACTTTTTAATACAACTTAAGAAGCATCAGGGCCTTGACTCCATATTTGTGCGTGAAAAATTCAGGGAGGCCCTAGTTTTGACTGTGTGGTGGGTTAGGCTCTCTGCTATGGGCTTACTCTGCCCACGTTAGATCTTCACAACAGGAATTCAGAGTAGATATTATTGCTGAGGCTTCACCCTATTCTGCAGACCAAGAAAAGGTGACAGGTTAAGTAACTGGCCTAAAGTCACACATCACACATATATCTCTCCAGGTATTTTTAGTTCCCAAATCCCTGTCCATTTGCCCTACATTGCCTGGTCAGGTTCCCACTTATATTTGCTTTGCTAACTTTTTGCTGCTACCAAAAAAGAAGACGATTTTGTCTCTGGAAGATGCGCCCATTGGTTTTCAATCTTCCTGCATATTGATGTCTTCAACAATGTACTTCCTCCCAACTTGCATTAAGATCCAAAGAAGCCATCACGTTGTGAAAAAGAAAGACTGAACTTTCAATTTGATGGCAGACCTGAGTAAAATATCAATTTTGCTGTTTCTCTGGTAAACACCATGTGAAGTGATTCTTGACTTATCATTCGTCTTACTTGATCTATCAGTCTTCAGAACTCCATTTATTTCACCTGCTTTTTGATTGGAGATAATAATATGATCTGTTTATTGTTACATTTCTGATCAAATGAGTTGGAATATGAGAAAAGTCTAACATAGGACTTGGCACAATTTAGTTCTTTGCTAAAAAGAATTGGGGGGGGAGGTAAGTACAAGTAGATAAGGAGGAGGTGGCTTGGGGCTTACTTTAGGAATAATCACAAAAGAAATTATTTCTAAAATTTAAAGCATTTTATAACTTTTTAATGGTTAAAAAACAATGTGAGGGCTTCAATAAACTGTGATCTGGGATATTAACAAAAGATTAATTATCTGATTCCAAAGCTAAGGAAAGGAGGGCTGGTGGATGGGTTCTTTATTCCTTCAATCTAGAAAAGAAAATCACGTGATCCTGAAATGAACTGCTTCAGAACAGCAGCCTTCCCCTTCATATTAAGATCTTAGATGAGTGTCTCTACCCCCATCACTAGACCAGACCAGTACCTGCTATTAGTAATGTCATCCCGGCAACAAAGCAGATGCGGACTTTGATGTATGGCTCATCAGGGAGGAATTTCACGCAGTCAAGACCAAGGAGGAGGGTGATAAATCCAAATCCAGCTAAAATATCTGCAGTAATCATCAACGCCCGAGTTGCCACCAGCTTTACTGGAAGATCAGGGCATGTGGTTACAGCAGAGTCAGAGGAAGGAAACACGTTAATGCACAGACGTACACCAAAAAACAGGTAACCACAAATATTAACACATGCCCACTGAAAGAATCAGACTTTAAATTTGCATGAACTTGGAAATGAATATCCTTTATTTTTTCATAAAATGCAAAAATATTATGAGACTATTGACATTATCATCTGTTTCCACACTGATTATTACATAGTCTTTTCAGCCTCCTAGCAAAATGCCCAGCATGTAGTGGGAACTAAATAAATGTTTCCCTTTTTATCTCCTGTTCTGGACTGAGTCTTGTTCACAAGTATTATAGCTGAATGCTGAATTGAAAGTAGAGTGTCAGTTCTGCAGAAGTTACCTAATACATATTCAATAAATAAATGATCACTATCTTTGTTTGAAGTTTTACTGAAAACAATGAAAAATAATTGGTCAAAATTTGGTATAGGGAAGCAGGATAAAATACTTGAATACACGTCTTGTCTATTTGGGCTGATGGGAGCCATGAACAGATGTTTAGAAGGAGAAGGAGCTTCTGTTATTAAGTAGATGACTATTTCTGGAAGCCAGACCATATTCTGTTTCATCCCTTCAGGCTGTAACCCTTTTCCGCCAATACTCCATATTAACCTTCAACCTTGCATTGTCAACTGAGCACATTTTAAAGCTATATCCGATGAGAATATACAGTAGAAGCTCCAGAGGAGAGAAGATCAGGTAAATGGAAGTGGAATCATGGCAGTCGTCTTCTACACTGTAAGCATCTTCAACTGTGAAAGCCTCCTGAACTGAGTCCTAGTTATGCTAAATCAAAAATCGGGAAATTTTGCCAAAATTGGAGAGTTAATTACCTGAAGCCAGAACTGCTACTATTTTAGCTGGCTAATGGAGAGGAATAACAAAATTTATTCCTTTGATGGTATAGTAATTGTTTTATTTTCATAGTGATTTGAAGTTTCCTTGTATTTTAAATAATTTTTTCCCAATGGTGACATAAACGTAGGGCCTGTTTAGTAATAGGTCATTTGTAAAAGTGTGACCAATTTTCCTTCTTTAAAATAAAAAATATTTTTGTGATCCATCCAAGAGAGGACATCAATGCATAAAATCAACTTCTACCTTATTAATAGGTGAATATTTGATATCTCAAAATGTGGCATTATTCAAAAAGTATAGGCTCAAATTTCAAATTTAGGCCAATTCTAGGGTTAATTTTTCTCAAAATTGAGGAAAGAAAAAATATGTAACTTGTTAGGTGATGTCAGTTTTTATTTCAACTGATCTTCTTGATCCTCAAATGGTATGTACTGATGGGCCTCCCACTCAGCGCTCCAAGTCAAGGGGTCCCACACTTAGAAGTGCCTCCCTTGAAATGTTCTAAGCCCCTTTTGAAAGCAGGGACCATCCAGGTTTGCCATCTGGATGGGGTGTCCTGAAATCATTGTGGGCCCTGATCGTCCCCTTTCTGACCCTTGATCCCACACAGGGCATGATTCAGATGCTCTGTGAAACTCCAGGACTTATACCTACTCTATCTTCCAGGCACCCCATGGCTAGCCCCATTCCAAGAGGGCAGCTTTGCAAGCAGGTTGCTAAGGCTGGCCAGCCAGAAATTTGGGGGGATAGTCTGAGATTTGGCTGCCAGAGTAATGTTAAACACTCTAATTAGAGGGAGACTCAAACTATATGAACAGGAGCCCTGAAAAAAAAAGATTTATCTGGGTCTGCATACTCTAGGTATACAGGGCAATGGAAAAGGTTATCTAATTGTGATTGTATAAAAGACACTAAAGACTAAAGATAAAATCCTCCTCCCTTATAGGTAGCATCCTAACTTAGAAGGTATAAATATATTATTTTCTTAGAATACATTTTCATCTTTGTTGTCTTTAAGCATACGATAGAATTTTTAAAGGAAAGTAATGGGTATGTAGATATTATTTGAAATTTAAAGGTAAGAATATATCCAAAGAAAAAGATGAGACAGCATAGGCCAAATATAAAAAAAGAACTTTAAAGCCTAAAAAAGATTAAAAAAATAACTTTAAAATATATATAAACAATGTTTTTCTCTTTGCAGTGAGCTTATAAGTGATTTTATTTCTTCCTGCATAAATGTACATAACGACACTTAAAAGTTTGAAATATTTCATCTTTCTTTTTGCTTCTCAGCTGTAAACACAGCATGGCATTTCTGGAATAGTCTAGCGTCCACATGGACTCCATTCCTATTGACCAAATCATACTTCTTTACAGATAGAACTAGGTTAGTGCAAGGAGGGAAAAAGAGAAAGAATTAAGAAATTTTTTTTAAAGAAATGAAGTAAAGGCTTTACGAACTATGTTAAAAAATGTTCCAGGCGCTCAAATCCTAAATGGTGGAGGGAGATATTTTAGAGCACTGCTCTTTTTTAGTGCTTTTCCCTGGACTGAAATAGCTATCCAGGGGAAAAAGTCACATTCCAAGGATTTACGTTTCATTGATCTTGAGAAAAGAAGTTGCCATGTTATATCATCACCCATCATTTGCTTTGAAAGAGACTGAAACCAATTTGCTTTAATAACAGCACCAGCCTTTCTTGGCACGATTTGATGTTCTAAATAAATAAATAAATGGGATAGAGAAGAATTGGGAGAATCAACAGTAAGATTTTCTAATCTATGAAATCTCTTTATTCACGGAAACATGCGCTTTGCTAACAGCAATTATAATTTAAAGCGAAAGGTAAAGAATTTGAAGCCTCTGGTTTTACTATTTCTGCTAATAATGTCATGTTTTTGTTTTGTTTTTTTTTCATTCCTGATCCCATAGTCTGTGTCTCTCCTTGCCTATCTACCTCCTTATCTGTTTTTCTGGCTCTCTCTCTACCTCTCTATCTCCACCTTCTCTCTTTCTTAGCAATTGTTCCTTTGAAATACTGTAAACTTTCTCCTTGAAATAAGACATGGCTAAAAGACATTTTGGAAATGCTTTTCATCCAATCTGTCAATTCCAATCACAGAATTACAGCACCCTAAATAATTCATTTCCATTTAAAAAGTGTTTACTATGAGCATACTGTGTATAAGTCACTATGCCAGGCCCTTTGAGGGATAGCAAGATGAATAAGATAATGTTTTTACCATAAAGGAATTCATAAATACATGGGAAAAGATAAAATAGACTAAAAATATTTCAATTCACATTTCAGAAGTAAACTAAATTTCTAGTCTAAACATTTAAAACTTGACAGAACCTTAATACAGTACTATTGAAAACAAAAACACGCAATGGAAACCTGAGTTCAATGTACTTTGGAATTCCCTCCCTGGCAAGGGGGGATGTCAACGCCATACGTACAGGAGTGTTCGGCAAGTATAGAATCATAATCCTCACAGGTGCGAATCCCGTCAAAAGCATTTGTGACACACTCCCACCAGAGGCCTCGGCATTTTGAGCTCACCTAGATGTTGGAGAAGACAACATGTGAAACAACTCGTGCAGACGCACTTCAGTCCCCCTTGATCAAAGAAAGAACTTGGCTGTGGCGACTTTGACAGCAAAGTACAGTGGTTACAAGCGTGATCAGAATTTCATTTACAACAAACACAATCAATGCACTTTAGAGTATTTTCCCTTAGGCACTAACAAGGAAAGGCTTTCCCGACCAGGAAATGAAGTCACTTCCTGATTTGGGGTGGGGAGAGGCTGGATAAGTCATGTCTAAGATGGATAAAATCAGAACTAAATATATGCCAATTCTTATGGCTGGTTCCATCACTGAGTCATAGGTTAACATGGAGACAATTCATTTCACTTTCCTGTGCTGACATTTATTCATCAAAAAACAATTTTAAAATCAATATAACAATAGGTGGTAACTGTGACATCTAGAGTTTATTAGGAATGTACGTTAATTTTTCTTCATCATGAACAATGAGTTCCATGAAGAAAGATGTTACTATATGTATATGAGGCTCGTAAATTAAAAATAATTGCCAAAGAAAGGTGTACATAAAGACGCCAGTAAATGAAATATAAAGACCCCAGAACTTCTTCCTCCTTGCTCCACTGACAGACTACAAATGCTTAAGTTATGATATGGATATGAACAAACTGAGCATTAATTTCATACAGTCTGACTGGTGTAAACCACTTTTACTTAGAAATGCTGTGCAGGTGATTCTAAGTATCCACTTAGAGCTAAAAGGTACCAGTGCTCTGAGCTTTCACGTACTTTGTTCACGGACTGTAAGCCACGATAGATTTCTTAGAATTGTAAACATGCCAACAGAAAATAGCTTCAAGTATTCTTGACAGAGCTCATGCATATGGAACAGAGCTAATATGATTGTTTCTTCTGACTCAATTACAGATTCACATTACCTTGGAAATCTGGGAATAGTCTAGTGAGATTTAACTGAGAATTATCTTGGAAAATGAAGACTTCAATTCTTCCTTAAAGAAAGAATAAATAACAGGGCAGAGCAGGGAGAGAAATGCAAAGGCAGGGGAATTAAGACAGGAAGGAACATAAAACACTGATTTGCAGAAGAAATCATATCAGTGAATATTTGCACTATGAAACGCTCCACCCCGTGTTCTGTTTTGAAGCTGTGTTGTGTGCCAGATAAAACTCTACTGCTTGCTACACCATCACAATTTTGAATGTGGTACTTCTGTTATCCCTTTATGTAAAATACTTATAACTGGTAATAATTAATAATTCTGTATTGAGTCTATACTATTGCAATTACTGTTTAGCATATTATTATCTCAGTTATTCTTTAAAGGACCCTGTGAGATATAAATTATTATCATCTATTTTACAAATAAGGAAAATGAGGCACAGGAAAGTTAAGTGATTAACTCCAAGAAAGCCTCATTAATAAATGGAGGAAATAGGACTCGAACACAGCACTCCGATTATATGTTTTCAAGCGTTCCACTACGCTTAACCCCCATTTTCAAAAGTTCCAGTCCATTTCAGGCTACAGAACTCTAGAAATGGAAAGTGAGAAGTGGTAAACCCTAACTTTGTTCTCATCCTATGACCATTATTCTACAAAACCTCACTTTGGCTTACTCTTCCCAACGTTGAATTTGGAAACACTATTCTGGAATTTATGGAGTATTATCTGAGGAACCTGAGGAACCATAGAGACCGAAAATTTAGTGAAGAAAATCCATCTGGTGAAATTAAACAGATCAATTTCTAAAGAAGGATGTGAACATGGAAATTTTTATATGCATGAAATTTAAGCCAAACTTTAAAAAATATATATTTTAGATATAAATTGACGCTCTTATTAGCTGTGTTCTATCCTTGGTCAAGATCTCACCTTTTTTGAGCCTCATTCTCCCATCTGCATAAAGGAGACAATGCTAGGATGGTTATAAGAATTAAAAATAACAAACACACACACAATATAAATGATTTTCTCAATAAATAATAATATCAGTAAAGTACCAAAACATAATAACCTGAGTAGTGACCGTGTTCAGCTTTACTAACTAGCCATAATGAAAGTGGAGAAAGGTAGGTGTCATGGGCTGAACAATGGCCCCCAAAAAGATATATCCATGTCCTTATCCCTAGAACCTGTGAATGTGACCTTATTTGGAAAAAAGGACTTTGCCTATGTAATTCCGTTAAGGATCTTGAGATAAGGAGATCATCGTAGATTACCAGGGTGGGCCCTAAATCTAATGACAAAGTGTCCTTATAAGAAAGACGCAGAGGAGAGATGCAGACAAAAGAGAAGGAGGTAATGTGACCAGGGAGGCAGAGACTGGAACGCTGTGGCCATAAGAAGTGCCCACAGCCACCAGAAGCTGGAAGAGGAGAGGCATGCTTTCTCCCTAGAGCCTTCAGAGGCGGTGCAGCCCTAGTAACACCTTGATTTCAAACTTTTGGCCTCCAGAACTATGAGAGAATAAATGTCTCTCGTGTTAAGGCACCAAATTTGTGGTAATGTGTTACGGCAGATCTAGGATTTGAATGCAGTGGAGATGATTTCTACTGAACTATTGCACCGTGTCAGAAAACAGGCCTTGTCACAGCCTGTTGCCCTTCGGTCTCTCAATCAACAGGAACATACTGGAGCCAGTTTATTCCAACTTGAGCTAGTTAGGTGGATTTGAAGTCACCGCTTTACAATTAGACAGTGACTGTCTACGATTTCCTGCTGTCTAACTCAGCCACTAAAACAAAGGAACGAACCGACTCCAGCCGCTCTTGTTACATATGAGGTTATTTAAAAAGTGGCCTGAGATATACATGTGAGAATACTTATGTTACACTGAGAAGAGTATTTCTTTCTTGCCAAAATAATTCAGTAGTGGTGTCATTTTCAAGGCTATTGATCATTTACCTGCAATGACCATATTTAGAAAAGCAATGAGCTCATTAGAAGAAACAAAGAATCCAATTTCATTAGGTATTAATGCTCAGGGGCACACTACTAGATTGCTTGGTATTCGCACTCAGTTAAGGTATGTGAGAATAGTGGCTGAAATTAACTAAACTTCTGTGTTAATATGGCACTTACTGGAGACACCCTTAAAGGTGCCTTTGTGTACAAAAGACAAGGTTAAAAGATTTTACGCTATTTGTCATATTTAGGAAAGCCCTCTTTGTCTATAATATCCACTCTTCACTTACTTATCCCTCTGTGGTACAATGGCTTATAAAGAACTCTCTAAAAGGCAAGTAAATCTAAGTTCTTAAAAGTTTTAACATGAAGTTCTTAAAAAGCAAACTGATGCTTAAAATGTTATAGTTAACCTTTCTGAAGGGACAAAAATGCAAAATGTTAACTAATAATTTTTACCTCACAGGATCATTCAAAACAGAGGATTCCAAATTTAAGCTTTCTCCTTTTAATGTGCAATTTATATATTAATAAATAGTATAGAAAATGATTTGTGTGTTTTTTCAATGAATATCTGTTGATCCTGAAGTGAAGAGAGGATTGTCTCCTAAATCCGGAGAAGTCAGTTCATCTAAGGTGTGACAATAGAATTACAAGCAGCAAGCACGAGGCCAGCATAAATCTCTTAATATTAATTCATTGCCAATAGTACAGAACAGTCCAGAGCTCTGGCTTCCCTTGGAAACTTGTCAGTCTGGCTACCTGGACTCCATGTCCCATTTGGCAAGAATTAACACCTAAATGGGAGCTGAGTGGCTGCTCCCCTGTGGGTGAGGCTTGTGCTCACGGGTTCCTCACTATTCCTACCCAGTCTGCCTCTCTCACAGATCTCAGCTACCTGGTTCCTATAGGCATCTGAGTTCCCCCCCAACACCGACCACGACAGTATATAATAATATGAATAACTCCCCTTGCGCTCAACTTGTCAAATTTCTATGTATTATTCAAACCCCACTTCAAAGATGTCCCTTCTTCCATGAAGTTTTCCCAGTGTCCTCCAGCTGGAGTTAATCTCTTCCTGGATCCCACAGTAATTTGTCCATATTTCTATAATGTTTTTAGTATTGCGTTATCTGTTTTTATGTGCATTTATATGCATCTGTCACCTAAGTTTGTTTGTTGGTTATCTTTCAAACTATATTCATTGAATGTCTGTCATGTGTCAGTCAACAGGCTAATTAAATGCTTGGATGCTGCAATGACCAAAACAGGCATGGCGTCTTGCTTCAAGGAGCTTATAGATCCTCCTTCTTGGCACATAACAAATGCTCCATAGATGTTTATTGAGGAAAAATATCTGTCAATTTTTCTAATCCATACACATTAGCTCTCCTTTGAATTTCAGTGTAGAAAATGATTACTGATACACTGTATGTACAATTGACGCATAATATGTGCTTTTGCTTTGACTGAATAGACTAGAAGAGCTAAATCCAGGAGCCAAAAACTATTATTGAGACTAGAGAGTGCATGCTGATTTGGGTCAGCCTGGAACCTATCTACTCAATTGGCTCTGGAAAGTATTTCCCACAGTACTAAGGATGAGCAGGACATCATTCAGAAAAAGCCTAAGGAAACCACACTGGGGATGTCTCTTCCCGGTTGGGTTTATGGTGGCATCAATTAACACCTTAGTCCTGGGATTCCTTGTTCCGAACCCTGTAGCAGACTCCCATTAAGGCTTCTCTATCCTAGTCTTTGCCAGTTTCTCTCACCACTTCAGAAATACCTGCAAGCAGTAACATACAATTTTGCCTGCCTTGTCTTGTTTACTGTAGTTTTGGGTGTGTTTGTCTCGCCTCCACATATTTTATATATCTCTTGAGAATTAAGGAAACTTAAAAATAGTTTAATTAATTGGCATTTATTTCTCCTCCAGTTATAAAGGAGAAAAAATATTTATGTAGTAATTAGACACAGTAGGCTTAGTAAATATTTATTGTTGATTGACCACTAATAAACAAGATTTTTCTTTATCAATATGCATTAGATTATAAATGTATGTGCACTGAAATTTGTGTATAAATAA